GCCTCAAAATAGGCACGCTATGTTCCATTGGCCACATGCAAGACATTGCCCCGAGCATCCCATAGGCCCTGTGCTAAAGGAAAGATCTCAGCTCCCTGCTGAACCATTTTCTACAATTACTGTAGCAAAACTGATGGTCCAGGACAAAACTAAGATGGACTGAATATATTAATTGCACTTGGGCAACCTAACCCATCACTGATCTCCACCGAAGCATTGACAATATCATAGCAAACATTTCCATCAGCACAGCCATCTATCAAGAAAGATAATTGACTCCCTGTTAATCAAATTATGTTCAGTGTCCCATAAATTGTTTAAATAAATACGTTGTTTCCTTAAACGACACACCCAGCGTGAAGACCATTAGACAGTGGGACCTAATCGAAGATTCATAGCTCGCGAGCAAGCAACCAGGCATATTTTTTAAGCAGTGTGATTTGGATATCACAGAGACGACGATCATGGGCTAACGGGGCGGAACGCAAGTTTGAATATCCTCTTTAGGACCCCTTCAGAGTTCATCAGAGACCCCTTCATCAACCAGCACTTCATTAGGAGTGGGCATGAGATACGTGTCCATGTCACATTAATTAAGACTCCTGCCTCTTCTATTTTCTCACCGATGTCACCAGCAGTTATTAGTCTGTGCTTGGCACTCATCACTTGTCTGAGACATGGAGAGGTTGAGGGAGTCGTCTGAGAGTCCTGATGAATGGCACGGACAGTTCAGAGTAAGAGAGCTTGCCAAGGGTAAATCGAATTAAAGATTGGAATTTGGCCCGCAGACTTGGAACTTTCGTTTTGGACAAGTCTTTTGCCTGGAGGATCAACGGCTTACGAGACACAGCTTTTTTTAACGTACAAACAGTGAAAGCACAGAGTACACTCGCAGAATCCAGCCCATAATGCGGAAAAGAAACTGAAAAATCAGTTCATTTATTTATTTTTAGAGTTTCTCCCGTTTCCCCCAAAACAGAAAATAAGCGTGTATCTACATTTTATCAAGTGTAGTATCACCTTTGAAAATTGCAGGTAGTGGAGTGTTTAACATTCTCTTGTCAAGCATACCCCTGCAGGGACAATAAATGCCTGTCCAGTTTTGCTCACAGCGGCGGCGGCAGATTAGAAACAGCAGGAGGACGGTGTAGTGTGAATACAATACCGATAAGAAAGCACGTCTTAGCCCCATTGCTATGCCTTTCCTTCGGTGAATGTGAGAACCTGCTGTTTTCTAATATTCACACACAACTAGAATCGCAAATGTACCATAACTGCATTGAAAGAGCTCTTTCTCTCTCTGCCATGTAAAATTAGTATATTTCTTTTTCCATGTGTTGGTATTTCGGGGCACATGGTGACGGGAATAAATACAAACACAATAACAGTGAAATTTATTTCATCTAGAGGGGAGAATGATAGAGAAGAAAAAATAGAGCTGGTGTTGATAAATCAGAAAAAAAAGAATATATTCTTTTACACCCCAAAACACACAAATGTAGATACTAGCTGGACAATTTTATCAGATGCCCTAACAGAAAAGAACTGACTGCAACCAAGAAAAAAAAGAAGTCTGCAATTATAATTAGCTTGGAACCATCATTGACGACCTTTAATTTTTTACATTCTATCACTGTTGCCTGCCAACCACGCCCTCCTTTTATTGAGATACTAACATGTGGCTCTGAATGTTGAATTTCTGTAAGACAAATAAATGCCACTGTAGGTTGAAATATAAAATAAGCATAACTGTAGTTTCTATTCAAACATGCAGCCATAAGTTCCCAAAATCACTTGGCACTGGGAACCAATCCAGGTGAATTTACATGCTTCTGTAAAACAGTACATTCAGAAAAAGCAGTTTAAATATATATATATATATACACACTGTTCAAACGTTTGGGGTAGATAAGATTTTTTTAATGTTGTCCAAAGAAAGCTCACCAAGGTTGCATTTATTTGGTCAAAAATCCAGGAAAAACAGTAATATAGTAGAATATTATTATAACTTTAACTTTTTTTTATTTAAATATTTTATTACTTCAAAAAAAAAAAAAAAAAAAAAAAAAAAATAAAAACTTTTTAATGATGTCTACGAAGTTTAGACCTTGGCGTTGTTTTTTTTTTTTTTTTCTTCAAACATCTGTTACCTTGCAGGTGCTAAGCAACGAGAACACCTTGACACTGAAGGCAGTGAGACAGGAGGATGCTGGGAAATACGTATGTCGAGCTGG